GCTGTGACCTGACGAAGGCACCCGAACACCAACGTTCTCAGTTCAAGAGTGACTACGTGCGAGTATACCACCGTGACCCGCGAATGGATCGAGTTGGTTCGGAAGGCCATCAGTGATGAACGGCCGGAGATCTCTATCGCCAAAGTCATGGCGGGTTGGTCATCTATCGTAGCTGTCGAGAATGACACCCAATGTTCTTTCCTCGGGAGAGAGGAAGAGCTATGGACGCTACTTGTGACCAATGGTGGTATCACGTGGCCTCAACGTCGAGACAGACTGCTGAGCGCTATGCTGTCTAACGCATCATGGCGACGTCTCATGACCTTGTGGTGGAGTGGCGGTGGCAGGCGACTACGACGCGTTCTACGAAACTGTCATGTGTATGAGAGAGTCAGGACTGGCTCTCCGTGTGCTGCCGAAGGCTGAGTTGTCAGCACTGGAATCGGAAGCGCTTGACCAGCGAGGAGTGGGACCTGAATTATACTACAGTCCAAGCGGCAACCCTAATGTAAATCCTCATGCTCCTCAAGGCCTGGCCAAGTCGGGTGACACCGACCAGAAGCAACCTGACGGGTCACGGAAGGCCCGTAATAAGAAGAAGCACAAGGTCGTTGATGGCAAATTCTCTCAGGGTAGCGCCAAACCTACCAAGGTTGACGTCAAGAACAACAAGCGTGATCCTAAGAAGGTCTTAGCGTTCAAGGAGGGCCGCTGTTTTGACTGCAACGAGAAAGGTCATCGAGCTTCGGAATGTCTGAAGAGAGTGGTGGAGAGCAGTGTCGCTATTGAGAAAGATGGAAGCCCACAGCAAGACCAGTGTGGTGATCCGCAGTGTACATCCCACTTCGTATCTACGGCGGTCGCGGTTTCATATGCCGTGCCGGCGAGTTCAGGGGACGGACATAACAGCATCGCCGGGAAGGTGAGTGGTCAACTACGAGAACATGATCTATTACTTGTGAACCTCTACGATGGTCGAGCAAAATCCAAACCCTTCAGAGCACTACTGGATTCCGGTAGCCAAGTCACTTTGGTAGGGTCGAATCGCTCTTCTACTCCCTGCTCTCATGTTGATCGTTCACGGCCAGATATTTGAAAGCAAAACTTGACTTTGCGAAGACAGATATTGTCTTCTCATCGTGCCCGAAGCTGAATAGGTCACATATCCCCCAGGTGGCCTCTTTGGGACTAATCAGTGTTAAGCAAAATGCAGGCGATCAGCTACCGCCTCTACCTGTCGCCAACATTGAGTGCAAGAAACGGCATCCCACTATACGTCACCGAGGGTATCCATTAGCTCCAGAAAAGCGTAGGATCGCGGAGGAGACTCTCCGTGACTATGAGAAGAAGGGCTACATCGAGTTCATCGACAAAGACGGTCCACCTGATCAGTGGATCTCCCCATGCTTTCTGAAGCGCAAGAAAAGCGACGCGTGGAGGTTGTTGACGGACCTTAGATCTGTCAACAAACGTCTACCGGTTTATTGCTTCCCGATGAGGCCCATACTGAGCACCTACTAGCTCAGATTCCTCGTTGGGCTACCTCCTTTGCTTCGTTGGATGTGAAGGATGCCTTCTACACGGTACGAGTATCTCACCAGTCTTCTGAGCTTCTAGGTGCTACCGTGGGATACCATACCTTCCGGTGGAAGGTTCTTGCGCAAGGCCTGTGCACGGCTCCATATTGGTGGAGTCGTCAAATACACTGGATCCTATCTGGTATATCTGAGCTCGATAAGTTCAAGGGACGAGTTGTCGTTCTGACCTTTGTCGACGATATATTGATATGCGGTGATGCTGTAGAAACTACGAGAGCTGTTCTCGAGATTATCTGTAAGCGTCTGGCGGACTACCACATTCCCATCAGCCCTGAGAAAACTCAACCTCCTACCGACATCATCGGCTTTCTCGGAATGAGACTGTCATCCAATGGGTGGCAACCGGAGCCAGCGGCTGTGGCGGCTCTGGAGTCACTCCCCAGAACTCTCAATAAGCAGCAGCTACAGTCAGTGTTGGGGACTATCAACTACCTAAGAGCGGCTTATGGTCAAGGTGAGTTACAAGTGAATCTTGCTCCCTTACAAGATATTCTCGGGAAGAATAAGCCCTATAAATGGACCGACCTGCATGATGCTGCCCTTGATTGGCTGAGATCGGCCTTGCGGCAGCATGTCTTCGACTTTCAACCGATCGACTCTGAGCTCGAGGAGGGCGAAGGCTTTGTGTTGCAGACAGATGCCAGCGACTGTGGGATATCCTATGTATTGTGGAGAGTACGTTTCGGTGAGTGCCCAGGCGCACTCTCGGAAATGGGTGATCTAAACTCTGAGTACTCTGGTCCGACGCCGGACATTCTGGCTGAACATGGTGCTGTGCTTATGGTCGGCAGCCGTCGTCTCCGTGGGCATGAAAAACGTTATGCAACTTTTGACTGTGAAGGTCTCGCCCTGGTAGAGGGTCTCCGCAGAGCGAGGTTGCTGCTGCTAATCGCTACCAAAAGCGGGAGACGAGCGCCTGTTGTTGTTCAATCCGACAGTGCAGTTGCCATTCACAAAGTTCAGGCTGTTCCTGACTACTCCGAGTTCACCCGTAATCAAGTCCGGTATAAACGCTGGTGTCGATGGGTCGAGAGCGTTGTTGATGTGCTCCCATTCGTCAGAATATTTCACTGTCGTGGCTCTCAGAACTGCCTATCGGATATGTTTTCGAGAGTTCTCGCCGAGGCTGATACTGACACTATGGGGGTGTACAGTACAACAGCTGTATTGGTGTGTGATAACTTCGACAATAGCTCACTCTGCTCTGAGGAAGACGACGAGGCTCTCATGAACGACAGCCTTCCAACTGACGATGGCGTGGCCGTGCTCCCTGTTGCGGGCCAAAGACTTGAGGAAGATGTACCTCCTGAGCTTATCGGTCTCGTTAATTCTAATGGAGTACGGAGAGTTGATCTGGACTGACTCTACCAAGACTCCAAGGGCCGGATCCGAACTTATGTCCCAGGAGGAGATCGCTCGCAAGCCTTGGGAGCAGCGCATTGTAATGGCCATGCTTCCCCTGAAAGGATGCTCCGCGCCATGGTGAGCACAGTCTGGTGGCCCAAGATGAGCCCTGACATCGACGCCTACTGCAGGACTTGCGTTGGATGCGCCAGACACGCTGCGCGTGCCGCTGCTGCCAGCCCGCGGTATGACCTTTTCTCCACTATCCCGGTTGAGGCCAGAAGGTTCTCCTCGGTCGCTATGGATCACTTGGGACCCTTCAATGGTCTCTATGTCTTGGTTGTCGTTGATAAGGTGACAGGCTGGCTTGAAGCGTGCGTGGTCGATGACAAATCTGCCCAATCCACTGCCTTGGCCCTTTACGATGTTTGGGTAAGCCGATGGGGGTGGTTCGATTCGATCACCCATGACAATGATGCAGGCTTCTGCTCGGCGACTGTGAAATCTCTCTTCGAACGTCATCAAGTGACGAGGACATTATCACCTCCGTATTGGCCGAGAGGGAACGGTATCGCTGAGGCTGCGGTGGAGGAGATTAAGTATGTCATTCGTCGTTCTGGCGAGGTCATTACCGGTGCGGTCCAGCTCAAGGCTCTCGTCGCAGCTGCCCGACTTCTCCATAATTCTTCTGCCGCAGATGGATGTGCCTATTGCCCTTATGAGATTGTTACAGGAAAGAAGCCTAAAACCTTACTTGAAGTTGTCTATGGTGATGATGATCCGGATCCGGAGAAGATCGAGAACATGCTGAACATCATCGTTGAGCAGAAACGAAGATCTAGAGATCGCGGCCGAGCTACTGCTATCTCGCGCGCCGAGAAGTGGCGCTCTGGCTCTTACGGCAACGATCTGCACGAGGGCGATTTGGTTTTTGTTGTCCAGCAACGTGGTTACGGTGGCCGGGTGGCCCTAGGCCCCTTCCGTATTGGAAACGTCAATGGCTCCCTCGTCTATCTACGTGGTGAGGAAGATCCTGTCAGCCGTGGACAGTGCCTCCCCTATTGCCTTATCCCCGCTATTCTGACGTCGCGGGAGAAGACCACCAGGCCATGAAGGTCGAGTTCAACTCTCTTACTCTAGACATGATGATTATGTTCGAAGTTGAGGAACTTGACGGCCAGGTGAAGTCTCTTGATGGTACTTTCCTCGAACCGGATGGCAAGCTCAGCTCCGAATCGATAGAGCTGCTCAGCCAGAGAGGATATATGCAGTGATAGACATTGTCGGGGGGTAATTGTCACTCCTAGATCCAAGAGACAATAAATAGTATCTTGTTGAGTCATCACGACAATGCTATTAGTTGTATGTCTTTACTTTTCCACCGAACTTGCTATCGGTGACTCCGCGCAATGACATGCGTGCTGTCTCCAATGAGAAGGGCGTCACGCCATTGATCACTGCATCTTTTCCGCTTATGTGTCTACTACTCTGCCTGTTGATTATGGCATCTATTAACGGTAATGACTTGAGTATTGAGGAAGTGGGGAGTGATGTATCACGTATCTCTGGCGGAACAAGAGGTTCCGGAGTTACACAAATGATCGCCCTTGGGTGGCAGTCTTCACTTGGATAACAGTTCGGGTTTCTGGTTTCTTTTTTCGGGTTGGGAAGGTTCTGACACCTCTAGTCGAATTGGCAACACAGTGGTTTCTGATGATAGAGGGGTACGGGGAAAGTAGAGATGGAGTCACATTTCGTCTAACTCATAGCCTAGGGTAAGTCACGAACACCACGGCCGAGTTCGAATAGGAGTCCAAACGCAGTAACTCCAGCACTACGAACCCTGTAGCCGGGGCACAGGGAGGCGTCTGACACCTCTAGCCGAATTGGCAACACAGTGGTTTCTGATGATAGAGGGGTACAGGGAAAGTAGAGATGGGGTCACATTTCGTCTAACTCATAGCCTAGGGTAAGTCACGAACACCACTGCCGAGTTCAAATAGGAGTCCAAACGCAATAACTCAAGCACTACGAACCCTGTAGCCGGGGCACGGGGAGGGGTCTGACACCTCTAGCCGAATTGGCAACACAGTGGTTTCTGATGATAGAGGGGTACGGGGAAAGTAGAGATGGAGTCACATTTCGTCTAACTGATAGCCTAGGGTAAGTCACGAACACCACTGCCGAGCTCGAATAGGAGTCCAAACGCAGTAACTCCAGCACTACGAACCCTGTAGCCGGGGCACAGGGAGGGTTCTGACACCTCTAGCCGAATTGGCAACCAGTGGTTTCTGATGATAGAGGGGTACGGGGAAAGTAGAGATGGAGTCACATTTCGTCTAACTCATAGCCTAGGGTAAGTCACGAACACCACTCCCGAGTTCGAATAGGAGTCCAAACGCAGTAACTCCAGCACTTCGAACCCTGTAGCCGGGGCACAGGGAGGGGTCTGACACCTCTAGCCGAATTGGCAACACAGTGGTTTCTGATGATAGAGGGGTACGGGGAAAGTAGAGATGGAGTCACATTTCGTCTAACTCATAGCCTAGGGTAAGTCACGAACACCACTGCCGAGCTCGAAAAGGAGTCCAAACGCAGTAACTCCAGCACTACGAACCCTGTAGCCGTGGCACAGGGGGGGTCTGACACCTCTAGCCGAACTGGCAACACAGTGGTTTCTGATGATAGAGGGGTACGGGGAAAGTAGAGATGGAGTCACATTTCGTCTAACTCATAGCCTAGGGTAAGTCACGAACACCACTGCCGAGTTCGAATAGGAGTCCAAACGCAATAACTCCAGCACTACGAACCCTGTAGCCGGGGCACAGGGAAGGGTCTGACACCTCTAGCCGAATTGGCAACACAGTGGTTTCTGATGATAGAGGGGTACGGGGAAAGTAGAGATGGAGTCAAATTTCGTCTACTCATAGCCTCGGGTAAGTCACGAACACCACTGCCGAGTTCGAATAGGATCCAAACGCAGTAACTCCAGCACTACGAACCCTGTAGCCGGGGCACAGGGAGGGGTCTGACACCTCTAGCCGAATTGGCAACACAGTGGTTTCTGATGATAGAGGGGTACGGGGAAAGTAGAGATGGAGTCACATTTCATCTAACTCATAGCCTAGGGTAAGCCACGAACACCACTGCCTTGTTCGAATAGGAGTCCAAACGCAGTGACTCCAGCACTACGAACCCTGTAGCCGGGGCATAGGGAGGGGTCCCGTGCCCCGTGAAAACCACGGCTGAACCCACCATTCACGAGCGAAATATCCACGATTCGGCGAAACCATGATCAACCCATCTCCATATGCGCGAATCGTCGAAGAGAATAAAAGTTTCATTGAACTCAACATTACGCAGATAACACGTCGTTGTTCCATGCATTATAGCTTGTTGTCAGAATAAATTAATTCAAGCCCCGCACGTTTGCAGTCTCTACGCACACTCTGGACAGAACCTTCAAGGAAAGAAGCATGGTGGTATGAACTAAGGGATATTCTCTGGTATTCTCAGAGCAGTGTGCTGCGTCTCATTATTACCATTCTCCGGCCGGCGGTGATTCCAGGCATAAGCAAGTTAAGTGGTACCAGTCGTCGCATTGAAAAGAGACCGGAGACGCTGCTGGTCAAAGTGAGACCAAGATCAAGTGATATCAAGTGCTAGTCAAACGAGATTACAACACAAGAGCAACTGCTTCCAGTCGTAAACGACGCACGTTCACAGTCAAAGAGAGAACACGTAGCCACAGTAAGCTACGGTCGTCTAGTATCAATCTAGAACTCTAAATCTCAAATAGAACAGAGGTGTTCAATCAATCTCATCATCTTCAACGTGAGCGAAACGTCCAGCCGTTTCAACACCAAGATACGTTGCGAAGGCGCAAACAAACCGTGTCACTAAACTTTGTGTCCTAAATCACTAAATTAGACGCGCGCGTCCCTGTGATCGGTTTATGCGCACCTAGGGTTAAGAAAAAGAACATCCTTCACACCGTTTCCAGGTGTATGGATATAACCCGACTGACCGCTATTATTATATGCCGTGCAGATCTTTCCCGCATGAGGTATGATCCTGCTATTACTACCCGCTACCGCTGGATTCCCCTCCGTCAACGTAAGTGGTTATCTTTTAACGATAAGAGAGAGAGACACGCCTACGTCGGAGAGACCGCTCAAACCTTCCTCACCCATAAGAGTCCATAGCCATTCAGTCTTATGGCGTGCGCTCCCTGTAGCGTAAGACTCGCTCTCGCCCGACCGTTTCAGATATTGTCCGTTCAAACCATTGTTCGGATCCCGTGGATCTATCTGATCTGTCTGCACTCAACCTCCACCAACTATTGAATCATTATGTCCGGTCCTGCATCGAGTTCTAGTCCTCCGGAAGCATTCGACCAGCACTTCCTTAACAACTTGGGGGCTGCATGCCGAGAATCCATATCCAAGAACGAGAGACTGCTGTCCAAGTGCTTCCAGGACATTGAAGCTGGTTCTACCGTCGACGTTGAGATCATTCTGAGAAACACCTCTGATGCCCTTGCACCTGTGAAAGCAATGTCCGTACCCGGCGAGCTCTGATCAATCGGGTGGCGTCTCAGTACCCCCGATGGTTGTTGTAACGACTTCATTGACTTCGGTCTTCGAAGCAGTATCAGCCGATCCCTGCCGCCTTGCTGATGACCATCTACTCAACTGTGACCTTCCGTCATGGGTGACTCCGGTCTCACGACAACTTGCGAAGGTTATCATTAACCTCTCCTCATCGGATCACTATCAGATTCGATGGACAGTTGCCATTCCGACCCAAGCACAGCTGAAACGTGAATCGGTCGCTGCTATCAGTGAGCATCGCTCTCACTGCATGGCACAATCATCTCAAGCCAACACGAATGCCATACCCGGTGTTCTCACGGCAGGTGAACAGGCTAACACCTATCACTCCACCGGTGCTGTTGTTACCACTTCACAACCGCAATCGGTCTCCCAAGTGAGCTCGTCTATCGGTGGCCCTTCCAACTACGACATCCAGCACAATCCCACGGCCGTATGCTCAACCTTCGGGGGGTATCAAAATAATACATGCCCTCCCCGTATTCGTCCGTTGCAGATTAAGACTGATGTCACGAAGCGCCCTATCGATCAGGCTATCAAGCAGGTTTGCGTCTTTATCGGTCATCCTGTACATGATCTCAAGTTCGACCCTAACCACAGTGGTGCCTATGCTAGATGGCGTGTTGCCTTTGCTGATGCGATCGAGCGCGTGCCATGCTCTCGACAAGTTGCTACGGAGGCAGTTC